TGAAAAATCGAGTTAAAATCAGATTATAATATTGCTATTATAATTGATTTTAATACGACTGTCGTAATCTTCTTTTTGCATGGGTATGTTCATGTTACTTATATCAATGTTTATTGTTTATGAACTTATAATTGTTATTGACGTTACCATATAGAAGAAAAAGATACCCAATGTTTTTTTTCTTCTGGTTTTGCCATATATTCTTGAAGTTTTTAACCTTTTTTTGTATTTTTTTCGTTCAGCTTTTGGTTTTTGTTCACGTACGAAAAAAAATAAATATGCTGCTACATTAGATATGAAACTTACTTGTTTATATATGGGCACAATAGTTTACTCTCACAGTATGAATATCTTTCCAAGTGAAAGATGCTATGCTTTATTTATTTTGAGCATACTTACGATAAATTAACAAATAAGAGCTCTGTCTTCCTGCGTTTAAAAGTAAAAAAATCTACCTATTTGATGTACCAGAGTTGTATAATAATAAAAAAGAAACAAGATAAAAAATGAAGACAGTAAATAAAATGAATATTTGTAAAAATCAGAGGTTATTTCTACATCTGACCGTTACTTTGAGCAAAATAAAAAAATCTTCTTATAAGATGTCTTCAGGACTTTCAAGAAGATATATATCCTGCTCAATGTCATTAAAGCAAAAAGAAATAAAATTGTTAAAGAGCTTGTGGTGTTGGTTCTGTAGCTGTTGATTGTCGAAGTAAAGCTTTAGCTTGTCTTTTCCTCTCGTCAATGAGAAAATCTGACATCCTTGGTTTAATAAGTTTGGAAAAGCAGGAATCATAATGTAATGCTGATAAACGATATTTAATACGAACAGCTTCTAAATAAAAGCAACTAAAAATGAATCTTTTTGAATTTTTTTAGTTTCAACTCTGAAACTGGAAGCAATAAAAAGAAAGATAGGTACAAGCAGCTTAATTTATACGTTGTCAACGATTCTAATAGATAATAATCGAAATTTATATATTTAAAAAGAAAGCTCTTTAACCTTGTATCCGATGATAGAGAGTATGATTTAGGACATACAAACAAAAAATTCTTAATCGTTTTATCTTCTAAATCGGTGTTTAATTGAAATTGAGAAAAAAAATATCTTAAGTAGAATTAGAAAAACCTACCATGAAAAATGTTAAAGCGATCAACATCTAATGGAGGCCGACTTAAATGTTTTCTACCAGGTGGTAAAATACATTCGTTTAACTCTTGTGGTGTAAACAATTCTCTTAGAATTTGTCGACCGAAGTCGTATATGTCACGTCCTCGAATCGTTAACAAGTCTTTACCATTAAAAATCTGCAAAAAAAATCAGAATAGTAGAAAAAATGAATAGTGAGTAATATTCACAATGGTTTGAGGGAAAACCTCATCCTTTTCTCTGTATGAATCCAAACTATAATCACCCTAAAGTATAAAAAAGAAAACAATATATTACATATGACAAATAATTCTATGTTTATGGAAGACGTACTAAAGCTGGAACCAATCGATCAACCTTTTTACTAAAAGCTTTTAGTTTTTTTTCTAGGCCATGTAAAACTGTATGCTGCATTTGATCGATTGTTTGGTACAAAACATGAGCTAAAAACATATAACGACCTTATTAAACTAATATTTAGAAAGTAGAATCAATTTTTCAATATAGAAAATTCTGGAAAAATATAGTATATTGAGCAACATCAGATGAGTTTAACTTTTCGAAGAAGAATTGTTAGATGATTGTAAAATCAAAAAAATTTGGATAGTAAACTTTCCTTCTATCACGTTATATGTATATATTTTGAATTTTGATTTTAAAAACTCATTTTTATGCTAAGAAGTGCTATAAAAATAGTTTCTATTAGAATTAAACAATATAATAATGAACTGTATAATATTTTAAGAATTAAATAATCAATCAAATCATTGATTTACTTTTTTTCTGGAAATTATCTAAAATTTTATCCATTTTCCGAAAAAACTAAAAGAATGTTTTCAAATAAAAACACCAGATTCAATTTTCTAGGAATTCTGGATTGAAATTAGAGTTAGTTCTTATATCGCAGATAGGCATCTTGTTTTAAGAACTCAAAAAAAGTTTACAATATAATAAAATTATTTTTGTTTCTTTTTTAGTTTAAATAACACTTTACGTTCTGAAGACAGGATTGTTTTAGCACATGTACCAGTGGTTATATCATCTAGAAATTAAAATAATCGTCACAGAATAGGTAAATATTAGCAAATGATAAAAACTACTTTTATCTGACAATAATTGATCTAAAGGCCGCAGACGTTCTGAAGAGAGAGGTTCATTTTAAAAAGTTTTCTTAGCTAAGCTTGTGATAGCAGTACTCACTTTGTTTTGTTGATAAGTTTTGTTGTGGTACAGATAAACCGTTGTTAGATTCTTCTAAAAGATCATCGAAATATTTTTTGTTTTAAAATTTAGCGTTTAATTAACGTGTGCAGGCAACTAGGGGTATTACTTTATCTTTATTTTCTTTTAAATAATCAATAACGATAAAGTAATTAGAATAAACTTAATCTTTTACAAAATAAAGATAACGTAACATCCCTGTAGGCAACTGCTTTATCAACTATGACTTTATCTTGTTGTTAAAAGAACAAGTTCTAATCAATGTAAAAAAAACTTTCATTGTAGATTTTTACCGTCATCATCAGCTATCGTTAATGAAGATCGTTTTCTTTTCTGTGTTAATGGTGAACGTGCTAAAACAAGTTACAAGAATAGTAATCCTTAATCTTTGTTTATGAGCAAAATATGCAGGTACTTTGTGTTTGACTGTAACTGTTATCATCGGTAGATAAAATATCTTCTTCTGATTCATTTATTTGTTCTAGAATATTTAAATTAAAATATTTTATGATCATAAAAAAGAAAACCACAATATCTGCATTTCAGTGAAACAAGACATTTCAAAATATTTTACCCTCTTCATCGTTTTCATCTTCGACATCATCTGATGTCATCTGTTCATAAATTGTATTACATTGGCTGTAACTTCCTATAAAAAGAGTTGAAAATGATTTTTATTTTATTATGACCTTTAAGCTGAGAGGATCAAATGCAGTGGAGTAAATAGGAAAGTTTAACTTTAGAATTAAGCTGATTAAATTTTCTGAATCATCGATTTGATAAATTCGAAGCAGTCTAATTCAATCGAAATATTCTACTATTCGAACCATCTTTACCACATAAATAAATACAATTATGCTAGAGAATATATTTTTTTGCCTATGTTTACGAATAAATATAAATTAGATTTGAAATTATTTGAATTATTGTTACTATATAGATCTTAGCATATTAGACATTATAATATACTGCTAATCTCTCTATGTATAACGATATTGTATTCAGTTTAACTTGAGCAGCTCAATAGCTATATCATGAACGCTGTAATTGTACAGTTGTCAGATAAAATTTGTTATCGGCAGATCTTAAACTTACTTCTTCAATAGTAGTAAACTCATTCATTTATCTTATTCTACTTGACCGCTAGCGAAAAATAATGTATAATGAAATTGGAATCTATTATTAGCTTGTAAATTCATTTTCAATATTATTAATTATATGAAAGCCTTAACCAAAACATACTACAGTATATAATATATCTTCGAAGTAATGAACAGATACCGATTAAACAAAAGATATTGAGTAATGTAGAAATTTGAAGTCCTCTTATTACCTTGTGCTTGTATTATTGCTATACGACTTTTTTTACCAACGCCAACGACCGCTTTGTCATCGATTATTGATCTGAGACTCGATCTTTTTGCTACAATAAGTTCACCATTATCTTCGAATTTTAATAAATAATTTTGAGGAGAAGTTATGGAAGACTGTGTAGGTGTAAATTTTTTTGGTTGCGTTCTTCTTCTGGGAGATCGATTCATTTTCAATGATATAGGAAAGAAATCTGAAACAAAACCACTGAATTACAAAATAAGGTAGAATGTTTATTTAATTCGAATCATATAATATGACATTCATAATAACTCAGCATATCAAACAGAACTATAATGCCTAATCACATGTATTAAATTATTCAAATCAGAAAAGCGAATTTGTTTTTTTTGAAATAGAAACGAACCCGAAATTTTTAATAAGATATAGTTTAATAAAATATTTTAAATCTCAAAATTTTCAAGTTAACTATCTTGACGACTAGTTTAAATGTTATACTTTCAAAAAAAAATACTAAATTCATGGTTTAATATCCTTGTGATTAAAAATAAATATAGGTTTAATAAAGTTTTACTATTCTAGATGTTTTATGATCAATAAAATAAAATGTAACAATAGAAATATTTTTAATCATGCTCGTTATAAGCAGATATTTCAGTTACAACTAGTTCTTGTTCAAAATCAAATACGATACAATGCTTAATAATATAATTAATTTCAACAATATCAAATATATCACAAGGATTTTTGAAAAGAATATTATAACAACTATCCAGTGGCTTTTCTAATAAGTCAAAGTAAGACGATGATTTAAACAAAGAACTAAATGGTTGCTTATTTTTAAATCGTTGAATGACTGCATAAGTTGTATTCATGCAACAAAAAAATAAATGGATAATTCCAAAATATTTTTCATTGTTACTTGTTGATTCATAATAGCTGACGAAATAACTATTTGATTTTGTTCGTCGTTTATATAACAAGGAATGAAAAGTATTACTTCGTATAATGCATCGACGATAAATGGATATACATTTTGGAATATTCAAACAACTACATATTCGATTATGATGTGCTATGATTATTGTATAATTATCAATGATTAAACCAGGATTTAAATCTATTGGTTTAGAATGTATATCATATTTTGTATGTGGCACTCGATTATGTAATGAAAAATTTATATTATAGTAGTGAGCCATTTGATCTCCATAATATCTTGTACCGTATGTATTTGAACTGACGTGACCTATTAGGTCCTCTTGAGGGAAACACCCAATATTAGATAACGATCCGTAGTTAACATACTGATCATCATAATGAGCATGTAAATGTAGAACATAATTTTGTATGAGATGATAAAATTTTCTGTGATCTTTATAGTACTGTTTGAATAGTTGATTTGCTATTGTTGCTGTTGTTTGTCCGAACATTGGTGGTTGAGAGTGGTAGAGCCTAATAGCACATATAAATAGAGACATATGAGCTAATTGTTCATGATTTATGAATTCATAAGATAATGGTAAAAGACCATATATCAATACATTGCGTAATTCAACAGCTTTCATGAATGATAAGTCCTTACATGTTTTCATACGTCGGTTAAAAAAATGTGGAAAACATTGTTGTTTCAGTTTAATATCAAATAACTGACGTTGAGAAGGATTAAATTGTTTGTAGACTTGATAAAGAAGTGTTTTTGTATGTCGTAACAAACTCACGTGTTGATAATCGATTATAATACCTTGAGGTAGTTTTGTATCAAGTATATCTTTTAAAATTGATGTACCTGTAGCAAAAAAAAGCATTTACTATATGATATGTTTTTGTATATTCTTGATTTCCATCCGTTTGCAATTAACTACGAAAGGTACATATTTGCTTTTAATATTTTTATGAACTCTATATTTTATTGTTATTTCTTTTACTACGACATTATATTAACCCGAAGCTGCTGATCAAAAACGATTAAGTACAGTACATTTTTTTATAGAGATATTAGAAAAGCAATAACGAAAATTGATTCCTATCAATTTTTTAATTTATTGAAGTTGGAAATCTTCAAAATACTAATTCACCTTTATGTCCATGAATATTTCCTTTAGTTTTTTCAGCTTCTAGTGATTCTTTTTCATATGTTGAGCTATGACGAAGAACAGGTTTTTTTTCATAGAAGTATTGTCTTTTGTTTCCAGTATGTTCACCACGAGTATAACAAAAATTACAACAAAAGTAACCTCCATGTCCAATAAAGTTAAGAATATTTCTTAGAGCTGGACTATCACCGGTAATAGATAAAAATTTAATATCTATACGATGATGATGATTTATTATGATACCTACAATAAATAAACGAGAACATTATTTATTAGTCATGTAAAAACTGTTATTAATTGTGACATAGAACTCACTCATATCTTTCAGAGAACTAATTACTAAATCAGATATATGAGACAACACTAAGTGAATAATAGAAAGAAACTATAAAAGCATATAGCATTAGTTTATTTATTAAATCTTATCAAATTGTTTTTAGTTTACTTAAATTTATTATCTTCCGTTTTAGATATAAAACCGATAGTGAATGAAAAGTAAATTTTCTAATATATATGAGAATGAGGTACTTATAAAAGAATTTTTTTTTCGTTCATATTATATGAATGTCAATAGATGAATAAAAGACAAGTAACAAGAAAATAAACTAATACTTGACTATTATCATCTATTTTTAGTTGTGATAGAAAAAACTAAATAAGTAAATACTTATTTTATATAAAAAATAAAATATTATCTTCTTTTTTAAATAAAGTCGTATATGAAGTTGTTGTTTAGGTATTGATTATAATTCAAAGACTATATATTTTCCCTAGTGTTCAGAGTATCTACAGCAGTTAGACCAGTTATTATCACCTTCATTCAAATAATTAATCGCTTTCTTATACAGTTATTATATATACATATACAGAGTTGTAAAAAATGAACTTGTTTTATTTATACAAGTACCTTTTATTTTGATAAATTTCATTAAATTCATACAATTTATTAACCAAATTTGTGCATCTGGTTCAGTATAACTAAACCATAAAGAAAATAGTACCATATTGTACCGGCGATTTCTCAGTTGTGGCCGTAGTTCTATTATAGATCCACTCAGAAGCCACATTTTCAATTTAGAAGATTTCGAAAGACTTATTCCATCTAGATAAAGTAAAAATGTTATAAAATTGTTGTTCATATTATTTTTCAATAGCTGTTGATAAATTTTATTAAAACCAATATCATTTGTTCCATCTCTATCGTTCATTCGCCGAAAATGTTCACGATATTCATCAATGTCCGTTTTTAAACGAATATAAATATTTTTAATCAATTGTTCCACATTCATATCATAAATTGCAGCGAAACATTTATGATCAGAACATAAACATTTTGAACAAGAAATATCGGAAAAAGATAAAACATTGTTACAAATTGTACATAAGATATATTTTTTCAGAAGATAATTTTCGATTTGTAAGATTTCTAAAATTTCTTCTATTCGTTTTGGCACAGCATTCGGTATCGGAAGTGTAGAATGAATGAAAGATAACAAACGATTAGCATGTGATTTAGAGATACGAGCATCTCTAATTATACTTAATAACGTTGAACAAAAATCTTCTCTTGACATATTAGTATAGCAATGTAATATAACATTATCGATCGGTGTATTATTACATGATTCTAAATCATTAAATGAATTTTCAAAGATTTCAGCAGAATTCATAATGTGGTTCTGAATTTCTTCAGGATTGATTATATTATCTTGATCACGAGCATCATTTTCAGATAAAATATTTAATGAATAATTATTTGCGGTTTCATACTTTAGTTTTGAGTTTGTATTCATATCAATTGTAAGCGATTCAACAACATTTAATAATTCATCAGTTACATTAGATGATAAGCTATCAACTGATGATGGTTCATAATACGCTCGACGTTTTTTTTTGTTATTTTCATTACGCTGTTGTACTCTTCTTGAACGTTTATTTTCAGCGAAATTAAGCGCTTGTTCAAAATCAAAGTCCATATATAAATCAGTAGTCAAATCTTTCGAAACAAAATATTATAAAACAAAACAAAACGAATGTATAGCTACCTACACTTTGATATGTATCCTAAAAATATTTATTTTAAACTACCAAATATATATTGTAGTTTGGTAGAGCAAAATACCAAAGAACTCTGCATAATATGGACACCAACAAGAGACAACCAATATTTAACACACAGATGTCCCTAGCGGAAAGCAAAATAAGTTCACTTATTAGTTTACAAATCACCAATTATTTTCCTATTTACAGCTAATCTCTCGCTTCGTCCATGGCAACCACAATACTCATAATTAACTTTAACATATTACATCTCCATCGAAACATCATAAATAACATCTACAACAACAGATACACATTTAAATAAATAAAACATTTTAATACGAATCACTTTTACTATCAATACATACAAAAATATAGTTATCCCAAAAACATTAAACCACACAATATATTAATAACCAGTCCATTCAAAAAACATCGACAAAACCACAAAACCGCACCGCAGCACCCGCTTCTGCGAGATAAGCACCGCTGCTCACACTGCTTTTCGAACTTCAAAACGTTAAAACTAACAAACAAAAAGCATAAAAATCGTATCGATATTTTGCTTTCATGATTTTCAAGCAGTGAGATATTTTTTAGTTCGCCCAGTCGTGCAG